ATATGTTCCCCTATTATTCCACACCATACGTTGACTTTTTGAGGATACTGGGTATGTAAAGCCTCCATCCAATTCGGATTTTCATCCGAATAATATCTATAATTATGTCGATTGACAGAACCATTTAAAGTGAAAGCAGATTCATCGGAAAATAAAATGCAATTTAAAAAATTGTTATTTACATCAATAGCTTCCGTCATTTCTTCACAAAATTGAAGACGTCTGTCACAATCATCCGGTAACAATTCTTGTAATATTATTATTTTGTAAGGATTATACTTATGTGTTTTAAATATTTTTTAAATTGAAAATTTTGACATACTGTGATCTAAAGCAAGTTGCTGTGCAGAAGTTTTAGGTTGCTCAATTACATTCATGAGTACTGATAAAGAATTTTCTTCATTTGTCACAGTTATTGGTCGACCTGGTATTATACGATTTTTGACACTTCCTGTATGTCTGTACCATTGTAAAGTTTTGGTAACAGTTGATTTACTAATGGTATTACGATTATAATTTACTTCATTGAACAAATTGGCTACCTCTTCGTGCGTGCGTTTTCTTTCTCCATACCCAACCATCATGAGTATTTCATTTCTTTCCTTTTCGGTCAATTCATTCATTATTACTAATTACTTTGAAATAATTCAATTTAACAAATTATTTTACTATTCAACACTGTCTCTTGCAACTTAATCAACAATAAATGTTATTGTTATAATATTTGACGTCTTGTGTTAAATGCACAGCCTAAAAGCTCCCTATTAATAATATTATTTCTGTTGTGTTTAGACCACATGAGTGATACATTTTTGTAATCAGGGAGTTAAACCCTTTCAAATGGCATATCACATGACCTATGTTATGTTGCTATTTAAAAAAATCAAGATGCCGACCGTGCTTAAAATTTTGTAACTATAAAAAAAAATAATTTTTGGGCTTAAATATGCGCAAATATATTTAGTTGAAATTCTGAAATTTTGGGTTTTGTATGTTGAACCGTTTAAGCACTACAGGTTTGGTTTCATCTTTAACAGCTATATATTCAAAAATAATCTCAAAATATGAAGAAAAGTCAGCTGAGCTATGATTAATATTGTTTATATATGGTTTTTAACGTATTAAAAACAAAACAAATATTGCAATTACTAAAATATTCATTCATTCATTCATTAATAGTTGTAGTGCTTGAAAACAGTATAATATTAATAACAATAAATACACTTATTGCAACTCCAAATAAAAAACATCGATAATGGCGATTGTACAAAATTTTAAACCGAAAAAATTGAACACTTATTTTGAATTTCTTATAGTTTCACTTTAAAAATATGATTAATTTTAGTACCATCTTCTATAAAGACAAGAGTCGCCACTAACTTGGCTAGGATAAGTAAGGATAAGTTAGGATTATTCTTCCCAAGCCTATTTTAAATAGTTCTTTATTGTCTACGAAAACTAAATTTCGTTATTGTTCAAATCATACTTGTTGATATAGGATCGAAACCAAGTAGGGTCAATGCGCCGGTTACCCGACCACAGCTAGTTTTCGACCACTTTAAGGACAGCGTCTCCTAGGAATTTCTGAACAAAATTATGTCAATTTAGATTCAATCAAGGAGGTGCTGTTACCTACCGACTAGAGATTGAATTAGTGCAAATTATTACAGAAATCTTTAAGTAACTATAAATATCGACCGACTAGCTATTAGGGGATATTGTATTATAAACCGGCTTTTAGTAGACTGAGTTCGAAGGATCATAATAATAGTCCTGAACATAAAATCTATTTTTCAATAATTGCCGGGATTTTACCAAATAAAAAAAAATTATTTCGCGATTGTGAAAACGGTCCAATCGTTTTATATGCCATTTATAATATTATAAAAATGTTAACTTTAGGACTCATTTTGGAGTATGAGCATACTTTATTTCAATACTTTTATTGTACTATTTCATAAAGTATTACCTACCTATTACATTTTATTTTTATCGAAAATTGACTTTGTTTCCTGGACCAAAGTAAAGAATGTAGGTAGGTATGCAGATGGTAACAACAAAAACGATATCTTGCCTCATATTAAATATAAATATTTCCTAAAACAAATAATTTGGTTTATATACGGGTAAGTAATACGAGGATGTTTATAATTTCAAGTCACGAATATAGAGTCGTTTCAAAATATATTGCCACAATAATTGCGTCACATTGAGTCGGAGTGGGACGCTTGACGTGTCGCAATTCGCAATATATTTTAAAACTATTCTACCTAATTAATAAATTGTGATTTTGAAGTATAGAATGAAAACTATATTCTCATTGGTTAAAGATGGAAGTTTTTGTCATTTGGAATGATCAAGAATATTAATTGTGATTAATTGGTTAAATACCGAAGTTATCTGTTATCTGATGTTGGTACTAACCTAATGTTTTTGGGTAATTTTGACTGTCATTTCCTGGAATTTCCAGGCCTGCATAAATATTTATCCTATTAAAGTCAAAAACCCTACAATAGATATTATGAGTAGGTATTTAACATTCATTTATCTTATCTTAGGTAGTTATTTCCTAGAAACATTTCCCTGATTGTCAATAACACATTACCGTATATCTGTGCCAATATGACGTCACGACTTTTAATATACTTAATGAAGGCTGGGAAAAGGAGTTAAGAGTCTATAAATTTACAAACAAGCTTACGGGTATTTAGTTTTCAAAATTACATCACACGTTTCTGAAGTGTTTTATTGTGCTGTTTGTTTTTAATAAGTGTTATTTTCTTTAATAGAAAATTGATTTATTTGTGCCGAGTGTCCTAGTGAGTTTCATTGTACATTTTAATCAGTTTTATTTTTGGATAAATTGACATCGACTTCCTGCATTAAAGGTAGGTAGTATTTTTTTTCTATCACTCTCGAGTTCGTCATTGAATAAAAAAATTAAACGCTATAATTTTAACATTCAAATATTTGCAATTAAAAAATAATATTACGTATTAAATTTGACAATAAAAAAACTTGTTATTTAATAATAATGTTTCATTATTCTGAATATATTTTTTCTACGATCAATATCCAAAGTAGGTAGGCTTTTGCACATTAAAATCTAAATAAAAAGTTGACGTTTTCTGCGAATTGTCATAATTTGACATTATTGGCGCACATTACCTAATATTCAAACCCATTTCCATGCTTAAAAATAGAAGATGGTGACATTCATTTAAAAGAAAACCATAACTACTTTTACCAGGTGAAAAATTTCAATATGTTAAAATAATTCATGATTTTTAAGAAATGTGCTAGAAATGATACTACAATATTAATATTCTTTTTATGTTTGATTTTCTAATAATGATTTTATATACTTTTAGATTCAAGGACAGCTAGGTATAGCTCAAAGAAAATTGTGCTACTTTGTAGTATATACTGGAGATGAAAATCCACTATTTGTTGAAAAAATTCATTTTCAACTCATTTTTTTGTAAAATATGGTTGAAAAATTAGAAAAATTTTACTCGGAATATATGGCACCTGAGATAATTTTAAATAGAAGAGGACGAGGATTAAAATGTCTGGATACCCCATATAATGAAACTTAAAGTGCAAAGATTAGCAAATTTATAAAAAAAATAATTTAATGGACTTTAATGATACAAGTACTTGAAATAATGTTTTTTTTGCGCAGAAGCATGTTCATACGTAATTTGCAATTGGTAATCACTAATCACAGATGGAAAAGTATATACGTCAACGATATGTTCTATTATTTTTGATTTATTTTAACAGGTATAATATATGGTATGTTACTTATAGTATAGATTTTTTTATTTCTCGACCTAATTTATTTGTTACGTCTTCATCAGCAATTGTCGCTTTCAGTTGACATATACGAAATTGATAAAAAGTGTTTTTCGCATTTTATTTTGACTGTTTCTCTTACTTTCGAATAGAAACTGAGCTTTGTAAACATAAAATGACGGATATGTCAAACTAAAACTGACGGTAAAATGAAACATTGAGTATCGTTAAATGCAACTTTTGAACTAGTTTCAAAAATAGCATTAAAATGATATTATCATTCACAATGTACTAATTTCCTATACTTTTAGTTGATAAATAACCGATAATCATACATCATATAACAAAGAGGCGCGTGTCAAAAGGTCACCGGTGAAAAAAGAGTGCCGATGAAAAAAGGTCGTTTCCAATTGTATCATATAAACAGTATCAGAGGCAGTATTATCATCTCGTATATTTCCCGTAAACACACATAATATAAACGGAAATAATCAAATACTAGTCAAAATATTATCGATCGGAGCACCATCTTTATTACATTACATGAAGTAATTATTGATTTATCGGGGTTGATTTAGAGTTAAATTAGACGCCATTTTTGGTCCAAATTCGTTTTGACATGTTTTTTCAAAGAAAGTGACTTATAAATTTCAAATCTACACGTTTTGAAAAATATACAATATTTAAATATTCTGAGTGTCCCAAATTCCAAGTAAAGGTTGAACTTAGGTCGTATTACATTTTATTATTTTTATTATTTGTTTGACATCGAGGTTAAAATAATTCTACACGGCACCTTTGAGATGAAATAAAAGGGGGTTATTTTACATGATTGGTTTTTATTGAAAATAATAAATTTATTAATTTTCAATAGTAAGGTGACCTAAGTTAGACCTTTATTTTTAATTTGGCCAAAAATTAGATTTTTAAACACTACATATTCGGAAAACTGTCGATTTAACTTTTGGTCTACACATACACTTTTAATACACAGGGATACCCCGTCCTTAATACAAATTCGCTCAAAATATGAAAAAGATACACATAGGATCATTTGTCCCACTCTAAACTCGTTTTCGACTATCACCCCGCCTCCGATTTGGGAATTCACAAGCTCTTTAGCACGCCATTATCATTCTAGAACAAACATGAAAAGGTTGCTGTCACCTGACTAGTGTTATATGTTATTGTTTTATACAAATATGGTAGTGAATAGTGCCTTGGAAAATAGCGGGTAAGTAGTAATATGTATATTATTAATATGGCTTTCATCTTCAGTTTAAAATATTTACTGATTTATATAGAAAAACTGTGTTTTTATTAGGTTTTATATCAATTTTTCAGTTAAAATCAGGTGGTCGAGTAATGGGATGCAAAAAATCATAATTTCCCTTTTTCGACCAACTGGTCGAAAACCGGCTAATTAGCAGTCACATTTAACTGTCTTTTTCTATATGACAGTGTTTGTATAGGTTGGTTTCACTTTGCCAGTTTACAAAGAAATATAGTTCCAATATAAACTCCAGTTTTCGACCATATTTCTTTTTTTTTTTAAGGATTTTAAATACGGGTTCGAGAAATAGCCCCTTTTTCGACCACTTCTTTTTAGAATATAAGTAGGTGGTCGAAAAAGAATTATTGTTTCGACCACTTAATTCTTAATGGTTCAAAATAGAGGTTTTTTCTTTGCAGAGATGCCTTCTACCAGAAAAGCAGGTCCATCAGGCATTAACGATAATGTGAAAAAAAAATCAATGAAATGCAAACAAAAAAGACGTTTCTTTCAGTATTCTAAAGAGGCCCTACAAGCAGCTATAAATGAGATTCAGCAGGGTACTATCAGCATAAATAAAGCCAGTCAGAATTTTAATATCCCCAAAACAACAATTATTGATCGATTAAAGGGACGATCAATGGGAATTAAACGGAAAACTGGACCAGAACCTTTACTCACTAATGTCGTTGAAATTAAACTCAAAGAGTGGATTACAAAATGTGGACTTCCCCTAAAAAATCAGATCTTTTCGACACGGTAGAACAAATAGCGAAAGATCTAGGAAAAAGTAACATGTTCAAGAATGGAAAACCTGGGGAGAAGTGGTACCAGAATTTTTTAAAACGCCAACCCGAAATAACTCTACGAGAAGCTGAAAGCATTAATAAAGCTCGTGCAGTTATCACAAAGAAATATATTAAAACATGGTTTCGAGAATTGGATGAATATCTACATGTCAACCAATTAACACATATAATGTCTGACCCTACAAGGATGTTCAATGGGGACGAATCCGGCTTTTCGGTATGTCCAAAATCTGGAAAAGTGTTAGCACCGAAAGGCTGGAGAAACCTATATAATATCAAATTAGGACAAGAAAAAGATAATATAACTGTTTTAATAACATTTTCTGCTGATGGCAGGGTAGCTCCTCCGTTAGTGGTATTCCCGTATGTCCGACCACCTCGAGCTTTGGTGGAAAAAATGCCTGCTGACTGGGTTTTGGGTAAATCAGATAGTGGATGGATGAAGGGTGACGTGTTCTTTAAATACATAGTCAACGATTTTAACAAATGGTTGGAGGAAAAGAAAATTTAAAAACCAATAATTTTATTTTTAGATGGCCACAGGTCGCATATGACTATGCCATTAAGTGAATATTGCCAAAGAAATGGAATTATTGTCTATGCTTTACCACCCAATTCAACTCCTATCATGCAACCAGCAGATGTCAGTGTATTCAAACCGCTTAAGGCAGAGTGGAAAAAACAGTTAGAAATTGGCAAAGGCTTCCAGAAAACGTAAACAGCACTGTAAATAAACTCTTTTTGTAAAGTGTTCCAGTCAACTTTGGAAGGATATGAAATGACTTTAGCCATTGTCAACGGTTTTAGAAAATGTGGAATCTATCCGTTAAACGCAGATAACGTGGATTACTCAAAATGCGTCCAAAATACAATGGAAGATCAGAGTAAAAATAAAGACGACGAAGAAATTATTAGCATATCAACTACAGAATGTCGCTCAGCCGAAAAAGTTATTTTTCGTTTAAAAAATAAACTGTCTGTCAAAGGAATTGATGCCAATATCATTCTTCATGAAATAAAATTGCTAGAAAATTAATGCAAACTGATAGAAGTTGGAACCATAATTGCACTAGATGATGCTGTTATCATTCCATTTGAAAATATTGTTGTTGAACAGCAAATGTGTTTCAACGATGACCAATTTAAAAAACTTATTGAAGATTCCGAACCAAGAGCAAATCAAGAGACCATTCAAATCGAAAACTTAACAAACAATAATATTGGACGAAAAGACGATGAACAACTTTGTTCCACCGAATTAGATTTCGAACCAGTAGCAAATCCAGAGACCATTCAAGTCAAAAAATTAACAACAGATGACAATATTGGACAAAAACACGATGAACAATTTTATTCCACTGAATTAGACTCCGAATTAAGAGCAAATCAAGAGATTATTCGAGTTGAAAAATTGACAACAGATAACAATATTGAACAAAAACTTGATGAACAACTTTAGTCCACTGAATTAGATTCCGAACCAAGAGCAAATCAAGAGACCATTCAAGTCGAAAAGTTAACAACATATAACAATATTGGACAAAAACACGATGAACAACTTTGTTCCACTGAAATAGATTCCGAACCAAGAGCAAATCCAGAGACCATTCAAATCGAAAACTTAACAGATAATAATATTGGACGAAAAGACGATGAACAACTTTGTTCCACTGAAATAGATTCCGAACCAAGAGCAAATCAAGAGACCATTCAAGTCGAAAAGTTAACAACAGATAACAATATTGGACAAAAACACGATGAACAACTTTGTTCCACTGAAATAGATTCCGAACCAAGAGCAAATCAAGAGACCATTCAAGTCGAAAAGTTAACAACAGATAACAATGTTGGACAAAAACACGATGAATTAGATTCCGAACCAAGAGCAAATCCAGAGACCATTCAAATCGAAAACTTAACAGATACTAATATTGGACGAAAAGACGATGAACAACTTTGTTCCACCGAATTAGATTCCAAACCAAGAGCAAATCAAGAGAACATTCAAAACGAAAAGTTAACAACAGATAACAATATTAGACAAAAACACGATAAACAACTTTGTTCCACTGAAATAGATTCCGAACCAAGAGCAAATCAAGAGACCATCATTCAAGTCGAACAATTAACAACAGTTAACACTATTGGACAAAAACATGAACAACCTTGTTCCACTAAATTAGATTCCAAACCAAGAGCAACTAAAGAGCAAAATAAAGAAAATCTGCCCCCATTGGTAACCGTAAAAAGCCCCCCACGAAGAATCTTGACTGTTGGCGACCAAAAGGAGAACACTAAAAATTTATTTGAACGGCATCTCCATTACCTAGAACCCATTAAAAAATCAAACAATAGTAAACAAAAAGAAAAATTACCCAGTTGCGATTTCATCCGAAGAATGGAGGACATATTACACAAAAAAAAGAAAATGAAAAGAAAACTAGAAGAAGCCAAAATAAAGAGAGAGAAAAGGCTGAAAGTAAAAAACGACAGAGAGACGGAGAAGCTAAAGAAAAAAGACCAAAATCTAAGAACAAAAAGAACAGAAGGAAAAAAGAGCCAAGAAAACCAGGATCTACCTCCACCAATAAGCAATGAAAAATTAAAATGCTCCGCCTGCAAAGAAGAACTCATCAGTGATGTCGAGGATGATGATGAAAAAAACATAGGGTGCGATGATTGTCCCAGGTGGTACCATATGAAGTGCACCGAATTCTATGGTTTAAGTTATGAAGAGGCTTCAGCCCAAGATTACATTTGTTTCATATGTTCTTAAAAAAGCAATATTTTTGTTTTTTTTTTTATTTTCAAAGATTACTAGTATTTTTTAATTAAAGCTTTAAATATTGTAGGTATTTTATGTTGTTTTTATTCTTTATTGGTAATTATTTGATTATAAAATAAAAACCTGAGTTGTTTCCATTCTAGTCGAGCAACTATCCCTTTCCCGACTGTACAAACAGTGACTGATCGAAAATTGGACCTTTGTTCGAATAAGCACAAACAAAATCTGGTCGAAAATAGGAACTTCTTTGGTCGACATGACGTAGTCGGTAGTCGAAAAAGGGTAAAAGATGACCTTTTTTAATTGTTTTTTTAATATAAAATTTCCAATTAACGAAAATAAAATAGAAATATTTTTTCATAAAAATAGAATGCCTAAAGATTTATTTAAAAAAAAAATCGAAGTAAACAACCCATTTTTAAGCAACTCACTCATTTTTGAAATCAGACATTGTACTAAATGGTCGAAAACCGGCGCATTGACCCTACAATAATTGTGTGTGGTCAGTTTACAAAAAATGCAAACACTTTTGAAGGTAAGTAATTGTTAAACTAGAATTATACACCCTAACAGTACAAATATTATATGTTATAGTTTTGTGTAAATAATCGTCATGCGATAGATTTAATGTATTGGTAAAAACTATTCCCACACGATCCTTTAACCAAATGGAAACTATAACCTTAATTGTTTCTTACAATTATATATTATTTTTCTAAAATAGTTTATTAACAATTTGTTGCAACTTAAATACAAGACGAAAATACTTACAAGAATGTTATTTTCGACAAAAAATTTGCATATTCTTTCGGATTTCTAATTCTTTCACCACTAACGTCCACATTCATGTTTACAAAAAAATATATGAAATCACTCACATTTTAATCGCACAAAGAAATTAACTAGATAACTAAAACAAATAGAATTGTAGAATATTATTGTAATAAAAGTTTTATCATGAATCTACAAAATTCCATTGTAGTAACCTAATTCTAAAAATCTTTTTCAACAATTAGATTCACTTTTCACTAACGCAGACACGCGGAAAACATTATTTATAACATTTTATCTTTCGCTTGTTTACATCAACGAAAAGAGAACGCATGTATCAATTGATGAAACTCGAATGAGAGTAAAATTGTTTCTGGACGGAAATATTTATCTCATCATCTATTCATTAAGAAAATTAAGTTAAATATTAAATTGGGGGTCCATCAACAATCGCTTAGATATATACCTAACATAACACTTTCCTTTTTTGATCTATTTAAGAATTGCACTAAATGAGACTTATGTGAAGTGAATGGTTTAGAATCTAGAAAATATCACCTCTTGGAATGGTTCGAAAAGAGCATTCTGTTTAAGAATATGAACCAAAAGCAAGAATTTAATTTTTCAGATCACATCGCCTTAGAAACTGAAGGGGGCATCGTCTTTTTAAAACGGGCCTGCTCAGAGCTCTGAGCCGTTACATATTGTAACCATTGTTTAATTTGCAAATAGTTTATTTATTTAAACCAGTTAATTCATTTATACTGCTACTAATTAATTAATTTATAATACTTAAGGACTATTCTAATGTATTTTATCAATTTATTTTTATTTGACAAAATTTATACTGAAACAACTTAAACAACGAAACAGTTTACTTATATATAAAATTGTAATAGTCTAGAAAGGTCCAACCCTGGATAGAAGCTCCATGCTTGTCTGGAAGTCCCTCATAATTCTTTATACATGCGTCGAACTACGAGAGAAAACATACTAGTTATTTTATCGAGTCTTCGACAGTGTAAATACAAACTGAAGTTAACTACCTGGGAGTCAAGTTTAACCACACCCTCAACTGTACTCTGACATCCAACGCACACATGACAAGATGCGTAAGCGAGCCCCAGACTCCTCGGAACTTTATGTGATCGCTATCGCTTTGGTCGATGTAACCCAGAAACCCTCATCCACACCTATAATGCATATATCCGTCCCATTGCTAAATGCGGTACCATACAGCACTCTTTCCCCCCGTCTAGCTCACAGACTCACCACACTAGAGAGACGTATTCTCCGACGATGCCAATATCTTCCTTTTTGCTGTCCAGTAGACGAGTCTACGAACAAACAAAGAACACCCCCATCTTAGACCTTCTCCAACTCCTTAGGAAACAATACATCTCTCGAACCCTGAATGGCTCAAACTCCCACGCCAAAAACCCGCTGGCGGCCCCATAGACGTCTCTTTTTCCGAAAAGAAAACTGCCCCAACTAAACATCAGACTCCTTGTCGATGCCCAAATAATGAACCTCCCACTTTCAGCTGAACTCAGCACTTCTCCTCATAAGATAAACGATGCCTTGAGGAACCCTTGACTTTCACAAAAAGAAGAAGGAAATACTTTGTTACGCCTAAGTTAGTTGCAGCTTTAAATAGATGTCAATAAGGCATAAGGGATTCAGTTTATATACTTCAGGCTTTAGTAGAAGCACTAGATCTTAGCAGTGATAATTTTCAAATAAACAAATCGTCCATTCAAAGCATTGTAAGTTATGAATATTTTGATCAAAGATATAATGTATTGCGATGTGATAGGAACTATGATATTTTAGAAGCAAATAGGGGAGGTGGTGTTCTTATAGCTTGTAAGAGAAAATTTATTGTGTCACGGGTAAATTGTTCTATTATAACCAATTCTCTTCCAGAAGTTGATATTGTGGGATGTAAGTGTGTTCTTGAAAATGTAACCATTTATTTATTTGCTATTTATATTCCCAATATACCTATAGTGAAGTTTGAAAATTTATTTGAACTTCTGGAAAATATTGTGTCTCAATACAATAACATAATATTTATTGGTGATTTCAATGTAGCTATTTTTAATAATGAGAATGCCAATTGTAGGCCTAAAATAGTTCTTAACGATTTTATCAATCTCTGCAACTTGACTCAATTTAATAACATTACTAATTGTAATGGGAGATTGCTAGATCTTGTTTTAAGTGATTTAAATTAGATAATTGTGGTCGATGTAGATGTAGATGTAGATGTAGTTTTAACAGATTTCGAAAAAGCTTTCGATAAAATCGACCCAAAAGTTATCGTTAACAAGTTAGATCAATTTGGATTTTGATCAGCAATGAAAACATTCTTCCACTCATACTTATCTTGTCGACAACAATTTGTTTCTTATAATGGATTTTCATCAAATTTATTCTATGCTACCTCAGGAGTTCCTCAAGGGTCCAATATGGGTCCTCTGCTTTTCTTGTATTTCATCAATGATGTCACTGATTATATCGCTTGTTCCAAATTGTTATTTGCAGATGATTTAAAAGTATTTCTTGAAATTTCTGATATACACGATTGTTTGTTCCTTCAAGAACAATTAAATAATTTATATGATTGGCGTATGCGCAATAAATTGTTTCTGAACATACGAAAATGCAAAGCTATAAGTTTTAGCAGAAAAGTCAACATAACAAATTTTAATTATACCATTAATAATGAAGAACTAGTCAGCTGTGATCAAACTAAAGATCTAGGTGTTATATTTGATTTGGAGCTAACGTTTAGTGTACATGTTAATACTATTACTAAATCTGCAAATAAAATGTTAGGGCTTTTATTTCGCAATTGTCAAAAGTTTAGAACTGAAGCTGCCTTAAAGTCACTGTACTGTTCATTAGTTCGTTCCAAGTTGAAATATGCTTCTTTGATTTGGTATCCGAAGACAGAGTTGCAGAAGAACAGCATTGAAAGGGTGCAACGCAAATTTTTAAAGTTTTTAAATTACAAGGTTAGGGGTATCTATCCCCCCACGGATTTGATGGAAATGTGTTGCGTAATAGATATAATGTACAACCCCTTGAAAATAGAAGAAAATTAATGTCAATTTCTACAATTTATAAAATACTTCATAATATAATTGATTGTTCTATTCTACTCGAAGGACTTTACTTTTTAGTAACACGACAAAATGCACGGACATCCAACACGTTTTCTCTTCCTATTCCCAGGACTAACCTGCTAATGAAATCACCAATATATATTATGTGCCAAAAATGTTAATATTTTATGTTTGAATTGTGATATATTTTTTGAAAAACTTGCACATGTTTTGCTCATTGTCACTCTCAATTTTTAATTTTAATTTTTACTTTAAGCTTTATATTTATTCTGTTATTATTATTTATTTCCATCTTAGTACTTACCTCTGAATTGTAATATACATTTTTTATTGCACATGTTTTGCGCAGAGTCAATCCAATTTATAATTTTTATTTTCACTTTTTTTTTATATATATAAGCAAATTCACTAGAGTATGCATCATTCTAAATGTTGGTGTACGAGGGACAAGGTGTTCTCAATACTATTATCAACAAGTTACCGTTCGAACTTCATTTTCCGGGCTATAGATACTGTGGACCCGGTACTAAATTACAAAAACGTCTTGCGCGTGGTGATCCTGGCATTAATCCTTTGGATACTGCATGTAAAGCACACGATATTGCATATTCTAAGAATCATTTTCTAGACGAACGCCATAAAGCCGATTGGGAACTTGAAAACAAAGCTTGGGAACGCGTCAAGTCGAAGGACGCGACTTTTGGTAAAAAATCAGCCGCTTGGCTTGTTACTACAGAAATGAAGGCTAAACGTAAAATGGGTGCAGGATTAGGCGACCAAGCTGTTGCTTGGATGCTTAAAGTGACTAAACGAAAACTTGGGTTAGGAGCGATTACAGGAAAAGTAGGAAAATCTTTGAAGAAGAATCCTTCATCGGATCTGAAAAAGTCAGCCGCTCATGCGTTGAAAGTAGCACGAATGTTAATTAAAAAATCTGGAGGGCGAAAAAGTGTTAGAATTCCTAGGATAATTCCGATTCCAAAGAGCGGAGGATTCCTTCCTTTGATTCCATTATTTGCTGGTCTATCAGCTCTTGGTGCGTTATCATGAGGCGCGGCCGGCATCGCCAAGACAGTCATCGATGCCAAGAATGCTCAAAAGAAACTTGCAGAAGATCAAAGACATAATAGAGCTATGGAATCTATTGGTAAAGGATTATATTTACGAAAAAAACGCAAAAGGAGGATTGGGATTATTTTTAAAGAAACAAAAAAACTACCGTTGAAGCTACCCTCTAGACCTCTATACGACAAAGACTTGATTGCGTATGCTAAACGTTTAAAAATACCATATTTTCGTGGAGTTTTCATGAGAGACACTTTACCAAAGACATCTCACCAAAAAGAATCCGCCATTTTAAATTTAGATACGTCGAGAAATCAAGGAACTCATTGGATAGCTTATAGAAAGATAAACGATATCGTAGACTATTTTGATTCATTCGGTAATCTAAAGCCGCCGAAAGAACTTGTTCGTTATTTAGGTAAAGCAAAAATATTTTACAACGACGATCCATATCAAACTTATAACCAAATTAATTGTGGACATTTATGTTTAAAGTTTCTATACAATGAAGGCCATACTAACGTACATAGACGGAAAAAGGACGCTGCAATCCCTTAAAGAAGATGAACTAAGCATACTTCCTGTCGGCTATTTGATACGGCACGTTAGACCTGGAGAATTGTTGGATGTTTGGCACAAGTTACCTAATGAATATAAATATAATTTTAATTTACAAATTCGTTTACCTTGTTACGTACATTATAATAGACCTGACGCTCAAACTCACTTTGATAGGCCTGCAGATGCGCAGGCTGATTGTCACGCTTGTAATTATTATTTTAAAAAATAAATGAATAAAAATTATATATGTGTATATATAAAAATCCTTACATCACTCATTCTACATCAGTCATGTTGTTAACTTTAACGAGTACTACTAACGAGTTCTCATTCGTTCCGCAGACCCCTATCATATTAAATCCTGAAAATTCATATTTTCTAGGATTGTTGGGGTTCTGTTCGTACAATTCAATACCCAATATTGATGGAGAGAAGTTTTACTATTATGAAAATAATAATCGAAAAAAATTAAAGATCATCGAAATTCCTACGGGGTGCTATGAAATTACGGATATCGAAAAATATATAAAGAAGGAACTGGAGGTGCGAACCAACAGCATTGACGAGTTTTCATTGCAGCCGAATAACAATACTCTCAAATGCGAAATATACTGCCGAAATCACGCTATTTCATTTGTACAGGATGATAGTCTTGGTAATATTTTAGGATTTTCCAAGACAATTCTTGCTCCAGACCGAAAGTATGCATCGGATCTACCTGTAAACATTATAAAAGTATCTAGCATACACTTTGATTGTAACATTACTGAAGGAGCCTTCTACGGAGATAGACCTACGCATTCAATATACGAGTTCGCGATAATCGAAAATCCTGGATATCAGATTATAGAACGTCCACATAATCCGATATACTTACCTGTAAGCA